ATATATCATATGCAATTTAAAAGCAAGTAAATGGTCTTCGTTTGATCTTAATGCTTCAACCTATCATATTCATATATTATATATAGTATACATATGAACAAATATGTTCTTCTAAATTTCTAAAATTTTTCAGAAACATTTCTTTTTTATGCATTACATCTTCTTTAATAATTATAGTTATAAACTGAAATGGGGTACTACAAATCATATAAAATAAATATATAAAGTATATACTATACACACAATATAATATACTATAATATACAACATAATTTGATATTTATTTACATTTATAAAATAATATATTTAATACATAATACAATATATATTGAAAAATATGTATAATATGTTATGATATTGTTAATATTATATAATATTATTATTATTGTTATGTTTCATATTATAATTTATTATAATCCAACAATTTTTTTATAAAATCACTCCAATTATAATTTCAATATTTCTATAACTATAACTATTCCATAACTAAATAGAAATATATATAAAAGTGAATTTTTTGAGCCACCATCTAAAAATTTATTATTCATATAAATTTTCTTTAAAAAATCACGTGGAATTCTATCACGTGAAATAAATAGAGTAGTATCGACATCAACTCGCACGATTTATTCACATAGGTTTTGAATGATCTATAAGGTTATATAAATTCCGAATTTAAGTCTAAAAATAAAATCAATGCTGCATACCTACTGCTTAAGTGCATCTAACACTACTGGTATTTTACGCGTATCATTTCAATTGCTTATGTTTTCTGCAATTGTATTTCAACGTCTCTGTTTTGTCGTCTACTATTAGCATATTGGTTTCGTAACAATGTTCATTGATAATAAATAACACACACACTTGTTACATTATAAACATTTTCTCATATAAATCTATAATAAATTTTCTTATTTTTCGGTAAATAGAATTTCGTTGAATTTTTCTGTATTGCAGTAGAATAAAATTAAACGGGACTTTTTGCCACTAAAACTTCAATATTACAGTTGTTCGCGGTGCAGTTGCAGTTACGTATTCAGTTAAATATATGCTCAAGAACGGTACATAGATGTTTCTTTTCTGAATAAGCTATTCACTACTTACATGTTAAAGAAACGAATTCTATTTCGCTACCAGGCCAATGAAATACATTTTCGTCATTTATAAGTTTTGACTTATCTTCTTAGATAAAAATATATCGTTATTTGATAAAGTTTGTGTGACAGCATTTTGTTGTGTACTTCACAATTATTTAACATATATTATAATACTACACTAATTTAAATATTATATATGTAATGTTATAATATTTCAATTTTATACATAAATATTATTTGACATATATATACAAGTATAATTTTATTATTTTTCATCATTTTTATTTATTTTATTCGCATTATATTCAATTTTATTTTATATCATGTATCTCATACATATATATTATTTTATTATAACACATTTATGTTACAATAAAAATTAAAATTTTCGATAGTTTTCATTAGTATACTTATTTGTGTTCCATTCAAACGAGGTTAAATCTTCAAACACAAATTTTATTCTGCATCGAGTAATATCAAAGTATTATACATACACGAAATGATAATTTCGTATTAATAAGTTGGATTAGTTTTTCCTTAATGATTTAATACACGTGTTTATGCAATACAATTTACACGTATAAGTATAATATTGCTACAATCTGTTTCAATGGATTAAAGGAATTAAATACCTAGCACAGATGTATATAAGCATGGCAGATATAAAGATAATGTTCGAGATTCAAAATGGAGGTGCTTGATTCAATACTCGTCATTTGTATTATGTTAATGCATTTAAGGTTTCCGTACTATTTACATAATCGCATCGTGGAAACTTTCTACTTTCCTTTCTGATATCCAAGAAATTTGTCGATCTGCTGTGAAGTGCATTTGAATATAAATTGGACACCATTAATTATTCTATAATTAACCCTTTGTAGTCGATGTCCCCGCAGCAGGGACATTCGCAAGTCGAAAAATACAGAAAACTACAGAAAATTAGAGAAATTAAAAATTTTGTATATTTACGTATTACAAGTAGTATTAAACACAAATCAGTTTCAACAAATTCTGTGCGTTTTAACCCTTTGCACTCGAGAGGCGCCTCTCAGTCGTCATTTAATCAGATTCTAAAGATGCATGTTAATTAATATATCAAATTTATAATTACCCAACGATGCGTGAAATTTCGAAGTAAAATAATTCTACGACTTAAATAGCATACGATTTCTTATTTACCGTTTTAAAGATATCGTCGACTCTATGACAGAAAGTCTTCGAATTACTATTTTCCTGTAACGAAAAATTCTTCGAGCTTGCAAATCAGCTTAATTTCCAAACCTATTGAATTTTTATTTAAAAGGTTGATTCAATTATTTTACTTTCTCTGTAATTTTTATATCTTCCTTCTTTGGAATGTAAGAATTTAAGTCTGGCATTTTAGATTTTTCTATATAGTTCTAGGTTTGGGATATATTTTTAATTATGAATCCTATGAAGAACCGTACCTCGTCATTTTGTTGTGATATTTAATTCTTAATTTTTGGTGAAGATTCTGTATCAATTCAAAATTGTGTAATTCACGGGGACTTGTATTGCCTGTCAATTTAGATTTTTGTAGAGTCTTTGTGAATAATTTTTTACTTTCACTGTAATTTTTATATCTCTTCCTTTTTTGGAATGTAAGAATTTAACCCTATGCAAAGGGTTAATATCCACATATAAGTACAAATCCTGTACAGAAAAGTAACTGTGAAACGCTAAGTTTGCTCTGAAATCTACCAACTGCAAAGGGTTAAAGAGTAAAAGGTGAAAAAATTTAACAAAATTTAACAAAACTTAGCTATACACTTCACATTTGTGATCAGTAAGAAATCCTCAACATGAAAATTAGTTAGGAATAATATGTTAATATTTGAAGCTAGTAATACTGTTTAATGTATTAATTTATAACAATTATATATTATATAAATGTATCAAAAGTTTAATACATTAAAAATTATTTTTAAACGTAGATTGCAATTTTTTAATTAATAAGGGAGACAATTTTAATGAGATTGTATTTTAATGTACGACTGAATTAGGGTTCGAGGAAATTTGGATATTGACAAAAATATTGTTCGTATACAATTATTCGTCATATGATTTATTGAAAGATTAATAAATCGTTCACAATTAATAGTAAAGTATATTATTAATCAAATGAATATTTTTATAAATACTTTTGAGTAAATTGAAAACGTGTATTTTCTTTTATATAAAGCAATACTAATAATTATACTTTCATATAAATAAATTGTATACTTTATAACAAAATATTATAATTTTTTTCATCGTTTTAAATTTTAAAATAATTTTCTGACTTTCGTATTAGTTTGAGAAATGTAAAAACATTCGTTGTTAGACTCAAAGCATTATACACATACATAAATGTATAGTAATTTGTTGATATGAAATACGAAATTAATTCATAAAATATCTATAAAGTTTAAAAATTGAAACTAATTTTGACACAAAATTTGTGAAATGTGTATATGTTATAGAAAGATGAAAAGTTATTGGAAAAATATAGCAAACAATTTTTGATTTATAATTTTTTAATTTTTTTTTTAAATATTACTATTCTATTTTTCATTATTCATTCAATAATCTCCATTATTGCTTATTGTAACAGTTTTTCCTTGTTTTTCCTAAATCAATATAAATTCAAGGATGTGAATAATAAAATTTAAATGGATTAAAGTAATAAATTTTGCATTTCAATATTATTATTATTTTATAAAATACTAACATCTATATTTAATTTATTATTTGAACATAGTATTTTTTTTAATATTAAACTTAATATCTAAAATACTGTTACTCTAGGTTGATCGTATTATATCATACTATAATTTTTAATTTACTATATTTATTATCATATTATTAATATTTTCCATATTTAATATCATATTAAAATTTTCGCATCGATTATTATTATATCAGAACATAAATGAACTAAAACATAAAGAAATAGGAATAAAGATTTTTAAATTATTATTCTTTTGTTATTAACAACATAAAATTTACAATCATTTGGATATCACCCAAATGTATAAAATAGAATATTTAAAATATATTAAATTATGCGTACATTTAACTATTGTACATGTATCTAAATTTACCTCCAATTTTACACTATTTTCGCCAGCAATGGTCCACTTTTCAGTATCGTTGGGAAAAACTCCGGTGACTCTTTAAACACTCACGAAAAAGTCTACACAAGCGCAAAAGCTCGGTTGATATAATTTCTAATTCCTTATCGTAACTTACATAAAGTACTCAACGATTTCAATGCCACTGATAACAATTAAACGCTGGCAGGAGCAAACTGTCTTGTAGCTGTCTTTAAATTTTTCACTGTAGCACGACCTATCGTGGATTCTGTCGTTTCTCTCGCTGTTTGACGTCATCGATACTTATTTCCGGTGCCCTTTCACTGTGTCGTTGCCAAACTATGAACCTCAGGGTCATTTTATAATTTACTTCAACCAGAATACAAATGTACTTGTTTGTATCGCAGGTAACGCGTTGTAAAACTATTAAATCTGCTCGCTCGCACTGCGAGATGGACGTTATAATACAGCGAGATTATGAGAAAAACCGAAAATAATGCGAGCTCATCCCGTTGGCATGTAGCAAAGTCAAGGAAGCCCTAATTCCCGGTACTTGATTTAGGCATTCAGCTCGACTTCACGCTTATCACGCTGACACAGAGGGTAAGAATTTAAAAAACCATTCTACTCTCGAATAATCGAAGGAGAAAAATATAATTCGCAATATCTATAATAATTAAAACCAGAGCGCACGGGTATCGAAACGCGTCGTCTGTGCAGTCCCGAAGCACATGCTATCCATGCGTTTATACAAACACACCGTCCGTACAATGATCTCTTAATGATAAAATTATAAGTAAATAATTACCCCATTTTTTTGGCGTGTGACCGCAGTAAGTGCCTTCGACTGGATCATGAATGAAATTACAGATGGCTTTCCAGTACGTCCTTTGCTTGGGCACTCGTTTATAATCGAACTCGTAAGTATCATTCTGGAATTGCTTACCCGGCACGCTCATTTCGGTGACTATCTCGTACACTTACGAAACTCTGTCACTCGGATATAATACGTGAATTTCGCGTTAGAACGAGGTTCCGGCCGAACTTAAACTCGCGACGAATAAAACAAGCGCGTACGGAGGAGCCCGTATCGTTCAACAATGTTGTACTCCGGTTGAGCTGAAACAGCTCACTATTCTCGCTGTCTCGAAGAGAGCTAAGCGATACCGCGTGTTGCGAAGCTCGGTGGCGCGACCACGATCGGTCGCGGCCCTACGTCTACCGATCGAGTAAGTAGTCGGAAACGCTAAGATATGTCAGAGCCCACACTCGTCGCCTTAAGGCTGACTCACACGTAGCTACTAGCGAGACTCGTTCGACCGGTGTATTGTTTCGTATCCATCGATTAGTTACGCGACAGGTTCGCTCGGCGACCTATCTTATCCGATGAATTATGGGCTAAAACGGATGCTCAACGGTAAGTCGATATCTCGCTCCTCTTTTCCGAGATATCGATTAAGATTACCCGACGCTACGGACTAATTAGTTCATTTTTCCAATGCATCGAGGCGTTGCGATCGGTAGATTGCAGATTGGTGCATAACGCGAGTCTTCGATTATATTTTCCTTCAAATTTTTACTCAAATGATACGATAGTTTGGACTGCGTTGCATACGTCGTGTTTCCTGTTCGTATTAGCACGTTAGTTTAAAGCTACTGCGTGAAAATATAGTGTTTTCCTGGCCGTTTAAAACGGTTATAAGTAAATAAGTCGCAGATCGAAAGTCTGTGTAATATCACGGAGAGGGTGATCGGCATAGACGTATACCGATCGAGCACATCCTCGTTCATGGAAAATGCTACTTAAAGATCGTTAATCCTCTAGGGTGCGATAAATGTAAGTTGATAAGTATATCGACCGATGAGTGTTTCCTGTATGTTACGTATATCGATAAGCAAACTGAATTTATGGAAGTTTCCAATCGAATCCATATTGTCCCGTGTGATCTATTAATGACCGTTTATTACAGATGACAACTTTTCAGATGTGCGTTTCAACTTTTACCGAAGGACAGACTCGTAATTTTGATTATCACTTGCAAGTTGTTAAATTGGTAAAGCAAGTACAATTTTTTTTTATAGCCATATTCGAAATATAAAGTATTTTTACAATTTAAGCAACTTTGTTTATAGATACTCTACCGCGTGATATTTTCAGCCATACTTGGAAATTATTGACATATGTCGTCAAAGAGCAATTTACTAATTTTTATACAGACACGATATCAAATGATAAATCGTAAGATAGTTTAATTTGAATTCATGGACATATTAGATCTTATCTTTGAGATTATGCAACAATGTGTAGATTAAAGGCTGTCAAGGTCACTATTTTACGTGTTTCTTGTCATAAAGTATATATGTATTGAATATTCTGATTACTGTAAACTGGATTTCACACATTTTAATAGTAATGATCCTTCCTGGAAAGCCACGTAAAAGGTTAAATGATATTTGAGTTAAATGACAAAAATTGCACTACTTCATTTATATACTAATCAGAAGTAATTGTCACGATACATGAATAGTTCCTTTAGTTGAGAAGTTATATAATTGTGATTACTGCAATTAGATTCTATGATATATCAAATTATATAATATGTAATTTCATATGCTTTGTGTTCGTGCATTAATTGTTTTTGCAGATTAAAATAATTATTTGAAATACGAAATGAGAAATAGTATTAAATAAGATGGGAAGCTTCATCAAACAGAATCTTTTAAAACGTGTGAAATGTAGCTTTAGTAAGTATTTAAAAAATTTTAATATTTCATTGAATATAAAATATTCGTTAATTAATCTATGAATACATTCACAAATTATCGAATACAAAATTGTGATTTCTGTATCAACATATGTTCCACCAGCATATGTAACAGTTTTTAAGATTCTTGTTTCTTCCTTTAATTTTTAGAATCATTCATGCTCCTTTTCCTTTAGCAATTCTTCGTTATAATAATGCAACAAAAAGGATTCATTCTTCACGTTTGATCTGTTCACTTTCATATTCCCACTGAATTAAGATTCTGCTCCACTTTCTATAGAATAAGAATAAATTTCCATTAATAGTTCTCTTCGATAGCAAAATAACTAACTTTTCATGGTCTATTGAAAAATAGTGTAACTAAATCGTTAGAAAATAAGTTAAGATATATATTTATCTGATTTTACCTATTATTATTTGGAAATCTAACGCGTTACGAGAACGTTGCTCTATATTAAAAGCCCATAGTTGACATTCCACTGTCACCAGTATATTTGCTGTAATAATTTTCAATACTTGTGTAAAGAATGTATAAAAATTATACCTCACCACCATCGTAACATGATTCAACACCTTTGGATCGAGGAAGATTTGTAAAAATATCTTTCCACCAAACTGACCTTAACAAATTTGTTTAAGGCTCTCTAGTCATTTTTCTCTTTTTGGATGATTGGACTCTTTTCATTCATCGAATAAAACAATATTGCTTCAGGAATCATTAGACGAAACTCGAAGTTAGATTCATCTTAAAGTTTGATTCATCTTAAACCGTCGTTACTATCATATTTTTATATTTTACATAAAAATTCTGCTTTGACGAACCATCGAAAAATTGCAATTTGTAATTAAAATTGTAATTAAAATACCTCGAGAAATGTATAACTATCCTGAAAAACAGTATTGAAATTTCAAATGAAGAAGCATTGAAATAAAGCTAAACATCGTTTTCCAAGTAAAGAGAATGATCGAGTTCCAACGTATGGTTACTCGACCAATGTCCCTCTGGATGAGTACAAGACAATACAGTCATTAAAAGAAAAATAAGCCTTGAAAAGAAGATCAAGGTCAATTTTTGTGGAAAGTTTTTTTTCAAAAATTTCCATCGATTCAGAGGTGTAAAATACTGTAGTAGTCGTGATACATAATTTTTGTACACCCTGTAGATAGTCAATCTTTGTACATTTAATTCTGTGGTCAATGTTTAATACTTACGTGTTAAATTTTTGAATTTTAATGCAACGACAGGAGATAGGTAACCTGATTGCCCGGTAAATGGGAAAAACTGAATTGGGAATCCAGGACTGGGTATATACTCTATTTCTCCTATGTGATCCTTATCGACGTTATTTGCTCCGTCACACGACAACCAAACGTTAGACTTCAATAAAATAATCGATTAATTTTGCTAATTAAACTATTCGGCAAATTTTACCCGAATATCGTCGTATTTTGAAATTAATATTACCATCGTAATCATTATCATAGAAATAAAATGCTGAATTAAACCTTTCGAGATTCGTGTATGGCTTTTTTCAATCTAGTTGGCATACTCTGCGGCAGTGTCGACGAATGATTGTAATATTCAGGTGTCCAATCGAATCTCTGTAACATATACATAACATGTACAGTGTTTATAACTTACTTAGAACATGTATCTCGAAAATGACGAATAATAGGAATAAATATTTCGCACGAAAATTTTAGAGTACTAGAGGAGATATAAGTTGCTTATATTTATTTGTCCTTGCGATGACCTCGAACAACTTTATGGAAATTACGTTTGAATTTATTAATAGAAACAGGGCCGGCGTGACTTTTCGCGGGGCCGGGTTCAAAAATTTTGCGGAACCAGAATACATATTTAAATCCAATATGGTATCGGTAAATAATATGGTATCATCATTCTGTAAAAATTTATTCAAAATCGCTGTTTTCTAATTGGGTGAGTTCCTTAACATCTGATACCTTCCGCACCCGTGATGAAGTCATACTAATCCTTTGCACTTGACTATTCTTTCATTACAGAAAAATAGTAATTCGAAGACTTTCTGCTATAAAGTCGAGGATATTTTCAAAACGGTAAATAAGAAGTACAAATTAATTGTAAGACGTAGAATTATTTTACCTCGATATTCCACGTGTCGTTGGGCATTTTTAAATTCGAGATATTAATTAATAACAATCTTTAGAATTTGATTAAATGGCGACTGGGAGTCGCCTCTCGAGTGTAAAGGGTTAAAAATTATTTCGCGTCAATTCGTCGTAATGTAACGAACCGTTCGCAATGTCCCGAATATTCTATATTGTAATCCTTACAATACTCAATATCGTCATTATTTCAAACGCTCAGAGACCAAAACGATTAACTCTACTTTTAGAAAGCTTTTCAAATTTTCGCGCCAAAGCGCTTGATTGGTACCTAACCTTTTGTATCCAAAATAGATTTTTACTTGTGTCGTGGAGTTAATCGGTTTTGCAAATGAGTGGTATATCTTCCATTTACAGAATATTTTTAAAAAGTAGTTGATCATTTACCCATATATTGACATTACCCATCTATTGTCATTATTTCAATCGCTCATAGACCAGAACGATTAACTATACTTTTAGAAAGTTAAAAGGGGTTAACCTTTAATGTCAACGTTTAGAACACGCTGCAACGAAATATTTCAATGCAAAGATGGAAGAGAAAATCTTGCACTCGTGTCAGTGTACAGCGAGCTGTACTATATCCAATTAATCCATAATCGATTAATGGATTATGCGATTCTATTTTCTACACACACACGAATATTCAGTTTACTATACAGGGGGTTTTGCAAAAGGTCTGATGAGTATTTGTAGACCGCGGGGCCTTTCAAATCGCGGGGCCAGGTTCCGGTGAATGCGCTGAACTTGCCTCGCGCCGACCCTGAATAGGAATTGTAACTAAAAGATATTAAAGAGACACGGAGAGAAATATTTTCAATATGATAATGACTCTAAACTTTTATTACTGTGAATTAATTAAAATACGTTATAATTAATACACAAAAAGGTATTAATTTAGTGTCATATATTACATATGTTAATAATAAAACCCCATTAAACGGTTATGGAATTACGTTGAATATTAACTAACAGCTTAGTTTCTTGGCTTAGAAGATAATAAGATAAGAAGATAATAGAAGAAAAGAAGAAAACAAGATTAGAAGATAATAGAAGAAAAATATACAAATATAGCTTGGAAAACTGGCTTAAAAGTTTTTCGACATTTTATTTAGGTATCAAGAAAATTAAAAACTTTTTGCCAAAGTACTAGAAGCAAAGTATGTTTCCTGATTTTTATACAAATATCTTTTTCGGTTTCCTTCATTCGATATTAACCCTTTGCACTTGGCGATCTTTTCGTTGCAGAGAAATAGTAATTCGAAGACTTTCTGCCATAGAGTCGACGATATTTTTAAAACGGTAAATAAGAAATCGTATATAAATTAGGACGTAGAATTATTTTATTTCGATATTCCACGCATCATTGTGTAATTTTAAATTTGATATATTAATTGACATCGATCTTTAGAATCTGATTAAATGGCGACTGAGGGTCGCCTCTCGAGTGCAGAGGGTTAATAGTGGCATTTATAAAAATATGTAGCTGTTATATTATTTTTATTTTCGTTTTATGTACTTCAGGGAGTACAAACAAAGAATACAATAAATTTTAGACAACTACTTTCTTTCTTAACTTTTATCGGTAAATTTCTATGTGTACGTTTATTTTATGATAATACAAATATAGGAGCATGTGAAGATTACCTTATTAAATTTAATAAGAACACAAGGTTGTAGTGGTTTCGTATATCCATACGGGGGTTTACTACATTTTCCAAGGAGTTCTATGTCAAAATAGCAAGGCTTTTCACTGTGATTCGAACTTGAATGTTCATTATGACAATCTAAATCATAGTTTGACAAGCTTTTGTGGTACTCTGAAATAGTGAATTAAAAATTAATGATGATTATTTTATAAGTAAAAGCAAACCATAGAATAAAATATATGATATTATAATATAATGTATATAATATGATAATATGATATAGTATGATAATGTGATATAATATGATAATATGATATAATATGATAAT